GAGGTGCCTTCTGGGCACAGATCCACTTACAAAAGTCTGCCAGCTTTGCAGTGCTGCTTGTTAGGAAGGAATCAGGCTGTGAGATTGCTACGCTAGCAAAAACATCCCAGGTGGATGCATTTGATATTGGCAAAAGAGCCCCTTAGCCAGCCCTGTTTACTACAGTCAGAGGCTGTGCTTCTACTGGGAGCTCTGGCAATATTAGCTGTGCTGATTAAGGCTCTGTGATGTAGCTAGCCCCTAATCTTGGTCAGCCACCAGAGTTGAAAGAATGTCCCAGAACATGGGATGCAGAAATTACTGTATCAAATAAGGTGTCCAGTTTCTGTTTCTTGAAATGATTAATCTGCAATGCTAAAAAAGAAGATCTGAGATAATGTCCCTTCTAGCTAATCTTTTTCCTTCCCTCCCTGTGCATTCATGGGACTTCACAGCAGTCTCATCCCCCAGCTAGTTGTCTGTTTCTCTCATGAGATCACCCCAGCTTGTTCCTACTCTCAGTGAGATGATCGAGCAGTGAGTTCCATACATTTATCATAAATTCCATAAAGCAGCAGTTTTTATCAACTTCTGGATGTTTTGTCTCCCAATTTGATTGAATATGCCGCTTGTTCTAGTGAGACAATACGCAGCCATCTCTAGCTCACCTTTCTGCTTTCAGATTCATCTTCCTCTGCCACTTTCTTTAGGGATTGTTATACACATATTTCCCCTACAGATATAAAACACAAATCATAGAAAACAATACAAGAGATTTCCAGGTAGCGTAAGTGAGATTGAATGCAGTTTACTCCTCTGTAGGAAGTTGATTTCAGAAAGCCATTTAAAATCCGTATAAACAAATAAAAAGCCTCACAAACATACCTCACCATGTATGCCTATATTTAATAATTTTCTTTTACTTGTCTCTTATTTACAGTTATTGTCTGTAACAGTACTTTATGCACATGAAGAATACTTTGAATATGAGTTCTAGCTCAGAAAAGCCTGGCATTGAACTCCCTGAACTTCAAGGAGCCTTTAATTTCAGAAATGTCCATCCTCAGACTAACATGGGTTACGGAGACCCCATGCATGTGGGCCAGTTCTCCTTCTGGAGGGTTTGTGACTGTAGCCCCTAGGACCTAAGACTTCTGGTGTGCTCTCTAGCCTGTTGGTTGTCATTCTGGTTCCCAAAGGAACAAACAACTTACATTGGTTATAAGCAACTTGTTTCTAGACTGTGGTATTAGTTTGCTAAGGTTGGGAGATTGTTGAAGATTGTCACTAGGAACAATAGCTGACAGGGACATGTCTATCCAGTTGCTTCTGTGAAAGAAAGGAGTTTTCTCATGCTTATATTTTATTCCAGTGGTCTGCTTTTATAGCTGTATAAAGAGAAATTTATATCACTTAAGCAGTGTTTTCAGTGGGCGGCAGATAATGCTTAAAGGTCATGGGTATTTTGACTAATCAAAGGTATTTTGATACCAGTGCTGTTTAGATAGCACATGTATAATTTTTTGCATAGCTTCTACTACCTTTTACTAAACTATTAGGAAACCAGTGGACATTGGTCTCTCAGCAAAGACCAAAGATATATAAGCATAGAATGAGAAATTATATTTTTTTCTACACCAACTGATTTTGAAATAGTGCTTTAAATGCAATCAGCATGAAAAGAGTAATTCATGTATGCACGCTATGCTACTCTTTCACTTATTTCCACTTCTGTTGCAAAAATTTTGAAACTCATTAGGGATCTTTATGTTGCTTTATTATCATTGGCTTTATGGTCTCTCCTGATCTTTCCATTTGGGTGATTTCATTTCCTCAGATAACCTAATGTCTTACCCAGGTGTAGGTAAACAGAGCTTCCACAAATCTGTCTGAAATCCTGCCAAACTGCTAGCATTGCCGATGCCCAGAGCAATGTCCTGTTCAACAGATGGAAAGCCATGGAATACAAGTTAACCTTTAGCCTTATAACTCAAATACCTTCATTGATAAAGGCTATCACAGTGATTTGCCAGAGAGAAGTGAGTTGTCTGCGTGTGTGGTTTTGTTCAGGCTGGTTTTATTTGCTATTCTTTAGAAATACAACTGATCACGTTGAGCAAGACATTTGCATCTAATCAGCCCAGAGGCACTATTAAGGACATGTTCCAAAACCCAGAAAACCAGCATGGTCTCTTCTAGCTGTGTTGACAGGAAGGTGACAAGGCTAGTCACACAAAATGACCTACCTTTTTTAAAGTAAGATTATTCTTTTTTTCCAAACCATTAGTACTACTATTAGGCATATAAACAAATGTATTTTCTTTAACAACCTTGTCAGTCTATCTCTTGTAAATCTCTGGGTTTGTTCCTATAAACTAAGATAAGCTGTAAAAAAAAGCTAAAAGCGAGACAAATGCTGGGACATACTTAAGAAGTATATTTGTTTCTTCAGCCACATGCCCTAGAAAAAATTCTAGTCTCAAATTACCAATGAAAGCAAATCAGGCACTGAATTGATCCAGTGCTAACTAAGACAGACCGGAGCAGGGCTGGGAGCTTCTACAATTCCCCACTGTTATTTAAATACATTCATAAGGAGGTAGGTTTAACTTTAGACTGGCTCATCTACTCCGCACGCTGTCTGATCATCCCAGCCACGTATAAGAGGTCAACTGTCACAAGCTGGATCAATGAAAACATTAACCTATTCAAAAAGCAGTATTGGTATATTTTACAGACAACACCAACTTGGATCTACCTGCGGGAAGAGGGTGGGAAGTCTCTACAGAGGGATCTGAACAAGCTGGATCGATGGGCTGAGGCCAATGGTATGGGGTTCAACAAGGCCAACTGCTGGCTCCTGCACTTGGGTCACAACAACCCCATGCAGTGCTCCTTTAAGTGATCTTAAAGGTCTTTTCCAACCTAAGTGATTCTATGATTCCATGGTATTTTTTTAAGTCTTCATTCTTCTCTTTCTCCTTAATAATTATTCTAATTCCTCTATCTGTCAGAAGAATTCAGTCCCTAATTTCTGTTTCAATGCAGCTGAGAGCAGATTTGTCTACAGTATTTTAATATAAAAGGAATACACATGGTTTATTATTTTGTTCTTGACGTGTAAGATTTGTTTATATAATCTAAGGATGAGAGCAAGTAGCTTTGAATGCTCATTCCTACAAGTCACTTGAATCCATTAAAGTGTTTTTTCCAGAGCAGTTTGTTAAGTCTAACCACAAAACCATCAAGCACAGGAGTAGTTCTGTTTCCAATTAATGCAGCAGGTAGGCTGATCACAGACAAACAGCAGTGTGGCATTCCCCAAATGGCAGTACCTTCTTCGTGAAATAATAGCAGAAAAACCACATAGCTCATGGATGTAAAAATGGAAGCAGATCTTTTGCACAGGTCCCACACCTGGAAACGGAGCCACCTCCTGTGCCAGAAGCCATCCTTAGGCTGCTGAGGAAATTGTTTGAAATTGAGAAAATGCCTTTCTCCAGGGGAAGTAGTCAGGACTCTTTTCTAAAAGCTAGTTTAGTTCCCTCAGTGCTGTGAAGTATGACAATTTTTTCATATCATGAATCACCAGTTTAATTCTTTCCTTTTTCAAAGCAAGCCCTATATTTTTCTGTTAAAAAAAAAAAAAAATATATATATATATATACTTTTAGTTTTGGGGGTTTTGTTGGGTTTTTCTTTAAGCTAAGGTGAACACAGCAACATCTTGCAGAGACAGAGCTTTACAGCCTGGGATGCTGCAAAACCTCTTGCCGCCACATATTCACACAAAATCCGTCCACATTGAACATCCTTAAGACCAAAACATAAGAGAGGAAGAAGCACAAGGGGGTTGGAAGTGCCAGGAGCTTCTCCCTGCCCAGACCACAACCCTGCCTCAGCAGGGGAATGCAGAAACCACATCTGGACCTGCCAGGCTGCAAACATGGTTCTTCACAAGGCAGATCTGCTAACGGTGACTGCAGCCCAGGCTGCCACAGATATACCTGGCACACAGCCTTCATCAGCTCTAGCCCTGCAGATGATGCTCAGCATCACTCTGTGTCTTCCTCCTCAGCTTGGCTGCATTAGTTCAGTGCTGAAATTAATTAATCAAGCACGGTAGGGCATTGCTGGAAGGAGCAGAGGAAGAACCTGGCTGACCTCAGGCTTGTGGCAAAGAGTTGTTCAGGCACGGGCATACAGGAAGCCACTGCCTGGAACTGGCGTTTGGAAATAAGTATTTTGGAGAGGCCACCACATCCGACTGAGGGAAAGACTGTGTTGATCATGGCTTAGCTCCCAACTCAGTCACAAACAGACACAAGCTTGCCAACTTAGCAGCTTCATTGACTTAGACCTCAAAACACAATGTCTCTGTAATGTAGCTCTCCTCTTCCTCCCTCCCTACATGGCCTGAACTTCATTACTGGGAGTCTGGGTTCTCCTGCAGACCTTTTTTAGGAAGTCAGTGCTCGATTTAGAGAAATCTCAGTTGACTTACCCTAAAGGTTTCCTTCTTTAAGAGTAAAGCATCGAGATAACTCAGCTGATGTGCTGTCACTGGGCTGGTTGCAACCAGGCAGCTTTGTGAAGCCTACCAAAGGATTCACCAGCTCCTCTCTACAGGAAAAAAACAAAACAAAACAATCAATTGTGGAAACATAACAAAAACAAACACAAAAAATATCTTGAGCAGAGTGAAAATGACATCCATCAGAGATGGATTTGCTGTGATACTTGTTCTTTTAAATTTGTAAAACCTTAATTTCCCTTCCTAAAGAGTTCTGGTTTGGGCAGTTTCCAGTAACAAGGCCTCTATTGTTAACTAAACCATAATCTGCCCTAAATCATTTTTAAGAGGTTTGGTTTTTTGCAGTAGACATGCTATTGGGTACGCTGGAAATACTTGAGCATTAAACACTCTTTGCCAGTTTGTTGAGGGTTTATTAACTGTACTGTCTATGTGAGCAGTGAGATAATGTCTTTGTCACACATCCTTTTTGTATTTTTTAGGAGCACCTGAAAGCTTTTGACCGGGAAGTAAATGCATTTGTGGACTATATGTTTGGACCTCGAGGTAAGCTGCTCCACCTACAGCCCTTTTAGGAAATAATACCTAACCAGATTACCATCCAAAAATATTCTAATAAATAAAAGCAGTCAAAATCTTCTATCTGAATAATTTCTCACTGAAAAATGTGGACAGGCAGAATCACAGTATTCACAGGAACACACCATTATTGTAGGAAAACTATCAATGGTGTTTACAGAAAGCCAGTAGATTTTTGTTTTGATTGTTTGACATCATATTATCTGTAATACAAATTAAAACTAATCACAGATTATACTGAAGGTGAAAGAAGAAATGCAACTGAATTTTTCTTAAACTTTAAAAAAAAAAATCAATAGAATTGAGAGTCCTTTATTTTCCTGAGAATATCAAAGGATTTCAGTTTTACACTCTAATGTGCTTAAAAAAATTGAAAGCCTGGATTTTTCTGAAAGTGGAAGATATGTTTTGGGACTGATTGTTATTCATAATCCAGGTGGTTTTTTTGGTCCAGCTACCTATCAAATTACTTAATTCAGAAAGATGCTCGGAGCAAAAACAAGAAAAGGCTTTTAGCACCCCACAGGATCATGTCCAAAATTTTATTAAACCAGTAGTCGGGGCAGGAGAACAGATGCATTTTTCTACTTCCTATTTTTGCTTTCTAAAACAGTTTGGACAAGAATAACTTGAATAACTGCAGATTGGAGATGCCTGATGCCTTGTTAGGACTGAAAAAAGTAACAATCAAAAAAAAACCCAAACCCAACCTGAAGTAGGAGCGCAGAAAGAGAAAGGCTATGGCAAGGTGAGGACAGCACATCAAAGTCAGGGCTAAGAGAGCCAGGTAACTAGAGGAAAGGGGTAAGACAGGAGCTTAGACAGCAGACAGTCTTCAGAGAATGTCCCTGTAAGGCCACCCTGCTGCTGGTGGGGCTGGGCTTAAACATACAACTTCAGGAATAGCCTTGCAAAGTTCTCCCAATAGATAAATCCAGAACTGTTGCCCACATGAATGGACATAGGCTTATGTATTCTCATTTTGTCGCAATAACGCCCTCCAGGTCCCAGAAACTGTTCTTGCTTAATTATGAGGATAAAGGGAAAGAAAACTGTGGCATTCTTAAAATCAAGAAATTCTCATTTTTCTTAGCTGGCTGCCAGGCTACAAAATCTTTTCCATCATCTCAGTAGTAGATGTGAAGCTTGAAAGAAAGATTTCTGGTGAAGAAACTCTGAACAGCTTGGGAACTGCAGCAGAAATGATTAAAACAAAATAAGTTCTAGTATGGTTTTTACAATACTCATAAAAGTACTATTTTTTTACTTTTTTTTTTTTTCAAATGGAGATAATGTTCTCCTTCATTCCTCTTTCCTCCTTAGTCCAGAACAAATTGTTTGAAGGAATGAACTGTAGTTAATCCAATGCAGAATACCACACAGATCCCTTTGGGCTTTTAGAAAGCACTTCAGTTAAACAAGTATTATTTGTATTACTTGCCAAGTACATCATGATCCCTCTCCAGACATCAATGCTGAAGATAGCATTTGTTTGTCTGTACCTCTTCACTATAATCTTTAATTTAACTGGTGGTATGACACAGTATTACACATTTCATGAATAACACAGTTCCCTCTAACGTGTTTATACACATAAATAGTTCACAATGAACTGCAAACAGTTTTAAATTGGATAGAATGATGCAACAAATGAAAACTAATGGATTCTTAAGAGCTTCCCCAAATGTCTAAAACCAAACAACCATTCTCCTCCTTTCTCTCCTCCAATTTTCATCTACAGTGCACACTTCATTTAGCAGCAAGATGGCTTAAAAGGACAGATAACAGTGCTCCATTCTTTTAAAAAAATCAATCCCGTATTTATTATTTATATTTTACATAGTGACTCCTGAAATACTGGTATCACTATACAGGGCTCAGTCATCATTACCAGACGTGGCTGAGGGCATGAGAACAGACCGAAGAGACAGAAAGCCACGTGCTAGTTCCTGGAGGCAATCTCTGCTGACACTGGCAGTACCAGGTTAACACAAGCTGCAGTACTGCACTACTAGAATAAGGGGTGTACTATCAAAGACCTGAGTTTGATTTATATATGGGCACATTTTTTGCCTTTGTTCACTGCTGTCGGCTAGACTTTGTACACAAATTTACCTCAGTGTTTGCTTTTGAACTAGCAGACCAAGTCCTTTGGATCAGGGAAAGAGAAGCCATACACATGCCCATCAGTTGCATCTCTTAATAAGAAGTGGCCTTGCAATTTGGTGTCGGTCCATATTATTCTGCATAAGAGATAATCCAGGTTCAAGAAAAAATGAGAAACAGTGAAATAGCTACTTTGTTCTATAAGAGAGCATTTTTCCAGGGTTGCCTTCATCTGCAGAGTATTGTTTGGTGTTATGCAAAATCAAGGAATATTGAAGTGCAGGAGCTAAATCTAGTTAATTGGTTGCTTGTTTCATCTGTGAAAGAAATAGAGGTGGTGAAGAATAGATATATTTTAATAAAGTTATGAAATAGTAATAAGCACTCTTCCTCTCCTCAATTGAGTGTGTGAACAGTAGCAAGATATTGGTGCAAACCCATCCACCCTCTGCACCTGAAAAGGTCTGAATCTACTCAGACACCACGTGGCCAAAGCTATACAGAAACCTGAATCAAAATGTTTCTAAACCTCACTGATAAAAGCCTGATATGTTTAAAGAGCCTGGGAGGCCTGCCACTCATTTCAAAGGAGCCAAGATTTCACCCCAAGGGTCTGGCACATGGTGGGCAGTGACCATGAATGAGCTTATTCATGGAGGCACCAGAGCTTGTGGGCGCCTGCTCCTTCCCCTGCTGTAGTCCAGCACTTTCACACTGTGGCTTTATTCACTGCCTTGGTCTCAAATTCACATGCTTTGTGGGTTCAACATTGTAAAAGTAATTCTTTCTCCTATTGACAGCGTATCTTTATAGTACTTGAACACAGAGATCGAACCATCAGTCAACAGAAATACTTTTGATCTCTCCTTCTTCCAATAACTTCTTTTGAAATACACTTCCTTTCCTTTCCCTTCCTGCCACATAAAAACCTCCCTCTTCTTGTCATTCAGGGATAAGCATAAGTGGAAACAAAATAGTCACGTTCCTTGGCTGCCGTTTATAAACCACTTTCTGCCAGTAACTGTCTTACTCTTCAAGGTACCAAGGTCGGGGTGGAAAATAATTAGTAAGAGTACATATTTGTATAATTTCTCTTGAAATGGAAATAGTATAGATCTTAAAAATACTTGACATGCTGACCTGAACAAGCACACGAGCTCTGCTTGTTTACGGATCAGCCCACATGCTTGTGGCCACTCACAGCAGAGTGAAAAAACTAGGGCAGCATGTAATGCTGTTTAGTTTAATTTGTATTCTCCTCTCTCCCAATTACTTTTCCTCTTTGAGCAAACATGCTGTTTCGTTATCTGCTGATGCTAGTTGGCTTTTGTGCAAGTAACCTTTATGCACCAAGTGTTGCAATCTTTGGATGGTGAGACCCTCTCTTGATAGCAGCCTTGCTGGCATGATTGCTTTGTACATCTTCATTTAGATTATCAATTAAATCCTTATGTTCCAAAAACACACACTAGATGAACACATGTACAACATTTACCTGTCCTGTGACTCCTGTGTCCTGTTTAGATCCAATATGTGAGGAGAACCTCTTTAGAGCTCACACGGGAGCAGAATCCCCTCAAAAACATCCATTCCAGAGCTTCACACATGGCTCATTAACTTAAAGAGGGCTGTTGGAATGTTTTACTTTGATACTGAGGTAATCTTAAATAGACGTTGAGATCTGAGGACAAAAAAAAAGGTGTTCTGTCTTGGTAATGCACAACAAGCAAGAGCACCCTAAAGGAAGGATGGTGTTCTGTCATAGATGGTTCTGCTGGCATGACTGCTTTAATCCTACACCTCTCCTACAGACTTTTGGAATTCCAGAAGGGACAGTCAAAACTAGGAGAGCACTGGATTTCCACAGTAGCTTAGGTCTGATTGAAAGTCTTTCCCGAAAAAGAGCTAACATCCTATGTCGAGCCCAAATCCAACAGATGAGCCTTACAGCCACTGCGATGGAAGCAAGGTGGGAAGTAGAGGGAGACTGTAAGGAGAAAGCAAGCTGATGCTCACAGCCCTGTTCATAAGCAGATTACTATAACTCACTTAAAATCTCACTTTTTGTATAAGTGCATGCATGTATTTCTGAGGAAAGGATAGTTGGAAAGGATACAGTGCAGCAGTTTGTTAAATGCTTGGGCATGTTCAGTTCGTGCATCATCCATTGCCCAGTCCTTTCCAAACTGAACACAAGTGGAAAAACAGTAAAATATTTTTTTATGCACTGTGAATACCTTTTCTTCTTTTACAATTTTTAACATAATCTTGGTCTTTGTAAAAAATAAACTAAGTAATTTAAAACAGTTTCTGAGAGCTGAAAGAACTACTGTGACCTGCACAGTAGCTTCTCACTGATTTATTTATTCACTTACTCCGTATATCGTGACAGATTTAGAATAACATTTTTGAAAATCTAGCCATGATGCCCCCTGTGATTTTCATGGATAAATGTCTGAAGATTGCTGCTGTGGAAAATTAACTCTACCTTTTGCTCCATCTTGGAAAAAAAAAAAAAAAAAAAAAAAAACCACCACCAACAACAACCAAAACCATTCCTTTCGCTCGTGACATGCAGTTGCTCATAGGACAACGAAGTGATGCCTCCAGATTGGCATACAGGATTAGGCTTTGCTCATATACACTGAACTATCTGATTACTGCCAATGGGATTACTTGTGTGAATAAGGCAAGCAGGATTTGACCTTAATATTTCATTTCAGGACTAGGCAAATGGGGCAGAAACTGTGAGAAAGCAAGCCTTGCCAATATCTTTGATAACCAGAGCAAATATTTGCTATTTGTTTTTTGTATTTAATGTTTTTTAAAAAACCTTCCCCTTGTATAAATGTTTTCTAGCAAATGTTATATATCTTCATACTTACGTGGCAAATACAGAATTAAAATATTATATGAACTGCCAACTTAACGTGCATACTTTGCATTAAATACATTCTGCAAACTGCCCACTGAGCAGACTAAGATATAATTTAATTAAATATGAAGTTAAAACATTAAAATACATTTTTTAAAGTATATAGGAATACTTTCATTTTCTCTTTCCTGTTAAAATGAGGAGTTTAAGTGGCCTCAAATTATTAGGGAATTTCATGCAGCTTTCAGCACACATTCTGTGAATAAGTACACAGTTTTAGGGCAGTAAAAGCAATGGATAGCTCTCACAAACAAAGCCTGCCAGATTCACTCTCGTGCTTTTAGCAGACTTTTTTTCATGGCGTGGTTTGCCTTATTTTAGCAATACTTTACCATATCCTTCTTAATTGCCTGCTGCATGTGTTTCCTTCCAGATACCAGGGTTAGAGGATGGTTCCTTTTGGACTCTTACCTTCCCACATTTTTCCTTACTGGAGCTTACCTACTCTGCATATGGCTGGGCAACAAGTTCATGAAGGACAGGCCTCCTTTCTCTCTCAGGGCTCACCTCATTGTATATAACCTTGGGATTACACTGCTCTCCTTGTACATGCTCATAGAGGTAAGTGTTCTTCCACGCAGCACAGCTGAGAAAGGTAAGCAATAAATGGTTTTTAGCTGAAATATCTCCGCAACAGACAATTTTGCTAGAAAATTTAACATCAGCAGCAACATAAATTTAAGATGAAGAAAAGTCCCTTAGCGATTGGACAGTGTGTTGTACAGTAATTTATCAGCTTACATCTCAGCATGCTTTAACTGTCCTTCCCGAGCTACAGTCCACTCCTGGGGACAGCTGGCTGCTACCAGGACAGTGTCTACAAGTGTGAACTTGAAACTGCAGCAGTTTGTATGACTGTCTACAGAATGATTTTTCTATGTATAAATGCCCGAGCTTAAATGTGAACAGATTTATAGATGAGACTAAGTACTGATTTATTTACAGCATTGGCAATTTGATGGTTTTTTTTCTGCTCTCCTGCCTAAGCAGCTTTCCTCATATAGTCAGACAGTAAGAGACAGATTTTAAAAACCTGCCATTTCAGCCAAAAGCAAGTGCTGTGGGACTTGGAGGCTGAATATGGTCACACAGATTATTTCCCAAGTACTTATCAGGAAGGAACATGCTCACAGAAATCAGAATCCATTCAGAACCAGAAAAGAGATGTGAATGCATCTCACAATTTTGCAACAGCTCAGGACTCAAGCAATGCTCCTGAGCAAAGATACATGTGTTTTCATCTCCCCAGTGGGGAGCAGAAGACAAAAGTTACTATTTTGAAATTGTCTGGGAGGTCCTCATTCTCACCCTTGTGGTAATTGAAGTACTTCTAATATTGAAGCATTAACAACCATCACTCGTGGCCCTAAAAAAGAAACACTGAAAGACAAAAACCACAAAACATTTTCTGACTTGGCATAAAGAGCGACCCCAGGCATGAGAATCCCTGGCTGAAGGATGTGATTGATTTCATGGTGTGACCTGCAGAGGCGTGAGCTGACTTTGCTGCCTTGCCCACGCAGCCTCGCAGCACTTCTTGCTCCCCGGGCTCCCTGCCACAACAGCAGTTTCCACGAGAAAAACAAGGACTGACTGTTCCATCAGCTGGAGAAGAACTTTGCAGAAGCCAAACAGGACCCCATAGATTTCAAGTTTTAAATTAATTTGAGCTAAACACTGGGTGACTGGCCTGGTCAAGAGGCTGAAGAGGAGTTTAGGCTTGTGCCTTCGTGCAAGGGAGTGATTGTGCTAGAGAGAGCTACAGAGCTTCATCCTGGCCAAAGCTCCAGGTTGCTGTGGGTGTCCGAGGGTGCAGGATCAGGCCCAGAGCAAAGGAGAAACCAGCACAAGTGCCAGAAGGTTTGAGGACTCCGTACTGATTGTCCTCCAGAATTTAAATTTGCACTTTCATGTTTAAATCCCCATTTTGCTTGAAGGTATACAGATGACTGATTTCAGTAGCAGGACTCAGCAAAAAGGATTAACTGAATACAAAACAAAAATGCTGCTCCCGTCTGACTCAGCAAAAAGGATTAACTGAATACAAACAAAAACGCTGCTCCCTTCCCCTGCAGGCTGATTTGGCCTGCCACAAGTAAATGAATGAACGAAGAGAATTTTAGCAGGTCTCACCTACATGAATGAAGCAAACTTGGGTTTTGCCCTGTTCACACCTCTGTAGGAACTGTGTCAAGCCAGCTCCCGTTCAGCCCCCTCACTGCCCAGCCCTTCCTGAGACTAATTTTGCTGCAGACGAGTGCTGAGCTGCATTAGTCCTCTGGTTAGTCCCTTCAGACCTTGATTCCGTAGCTGGAGGCTGCTGATTTACGCCTCCCAGGCTGCAGCTGGGCATGGCTGCCAGTGCCTCATAGCTCCACATTCTGCATTTTTGGGGAGCCGGGGGGGACATCACTGATCTGCCCTGCCAGCTGTGTTACTGCACATTTCACTCTTGGCTCTGGACTGTCACCAGGCTGGGTTTGCACTGGACAAAACACTCCTCCGTAACATCAGCTCTGTAATTTTTTGTATTCTTCTCGCCTGGTTCCTATCCCAGCTTCTCCTGTGAAGGAACACAACAGAAGCCAAAACTTGCAGACCTGCCCGAGGTAACTTGCACATCTCTGCTGAAGGAAAATAGGGAAACAGGAAAAGAGCAGCAGTCATCTCCAGTATGGAATACAGTTATGGTGACTCAACATTTCAAAATGCCTCATTTCTGAAGCTTCTCTCTGGCCCTTACTTTGTCTTTTATGGACAGTAAGCTCTTTAAGGCAAGAGTTACCTCTATTTAAAGATTTCTGCACAGTGGTTTCTTATGTAAACACCACTGAACCCTCCAGTATGATTCAAGATAAATTCCTAGTTAGAGACATCTATAGCAGTTGTCCTATTCCTCCACCTTCCCACTGCACCTGAACCCCTCTGGTCTCTGTAGCAGAGATAAATCACAAAATCATAAGCTCTATAATAGAGATGAACCACAAAAAACCCAAGAAAACAACAAAAAAAAGACCGAAAACAGACCCCCCCAAAATCAAACAAAACAACAACAAAAATACCAAAAATCTCAAACCAGTTATTGGCATAGTTGTTTTTATCTCTTCTTGATTCTGTTTATAAGGTGCCACACCTTTTCTTCTGATAGCTCCTGAATAGGGCAGGTGCTTCTTAGTCATTCCAAAGAAAAATATCTCATTCAAAATATGGGGTGTATCTCCAAATGCAGACTGTCCCACATGATGACATTAACGAGAAACATGGAAAACCAGCTGAGGGGTCATCTGTGCTACAATTCTTCACCTCCTAACCTAGTTTAGCTGTCTCCTGACTACAGTTGATTTGCACAACCTCAAGGCAAGAAGACAAAGGTTATAGCAAGGAGTTATAATAAAAGGGCTGGTTTTAAATCTCCAAAGGTAGCTCCAAATGCAGACTGTCCCACATGATGACATTAATGAGAAGCATGAAAAAACAGTTGAGGGGTCATCTGTGCTACAATTCTTCACCTCCTAACCTAGTTTAGCTGTCTCCTGACTACAGTTGATTTGCACAACCTCAAGGCAAGACGACAAAAGTTATAGCAAGGAGTTATAACAAAAGGGCTAGTTTTAAATCTCCAAAGGTACATTCCTCTTTTCAGCCAGAGCTCCATGCGCTGCGCCGTGGGCATGAAGTATCTGCAAGCCAAATTTAGCTCCATGAGCTTTGAGGTCAACCAATCCCTAAAGTACTTGAAGGAACAGCTCCAGACAACTCTAAGATGTGCCATCAGCATCAGGTCAGGTATCCTCACTATAACTGAAGGACAAGGTCTAAAAAAACCCAAACAAAATCAAAACCAGCTCTGCCCAACTGCCCTTATACTACTGAGATCTCAAAACCTTTTTGTCAAGAAAGAGTTAGGTACCTTCGAAGGCTTCTCAGAAGGGCAGTTTATTAGATCTTAATTTTGACATCTGAGTCAGGCAAAGGGATTTTCTTGAAGTCATCAAAGGCACTTACCTCTTCTCACTGAATATAATGGAAAAGGGGTGTACCTGGGTTTGGAGCACAGCTCTTTCAAGTATCTGAAGCTTAAAAGAAAGTTTTGTGCTTAAATTCGGCAGGCTGAAGGAGCACTACCAAAGGGGTCAGAAGACAAATCCCTCCATCCCTTCCCCTACAAGCGAAAGCTACATCATAGGTTTGTTGTTAGATAGGTGCTCTTCTGTACCATTAACTCTATATCACAGAGTTATCAATGACCTATATCAACTCTACCGATCCAGTAGAACAGTTTCCAGTAACGTTGCCAAAAATCTGCATAAAGAAAAACAACCACCTTTTTTTTTTTTAAACAAAAATCAAAACTTTCAGCAATTTTCACTGAAGAAAAATATGTCTTTCCTCTACACAAATCTCTGCCTAAGATCCTAAAAGTGCCAATTATGAGCAGAAAACCAGTTTACTGTGAAAAGCAATCAGGACTTTGCATATTTTATAATGATTTCATGGGCAAGTCAACTCGCAGGCCACACTCCAGGGACCCAGTCAGAAGCACCAGAGGCCAAGATAAGGTTTTGAATTTCACTGCAGGATAGAATTGTCACAACCCTGATGCTAAATTAAAATTGGAAACAAAGGAGACCAATGCTGATCTCTGAATTGTGAAATTACTCAGGTGAGAATACTCTCTCTCATTAATAGGAAAAGACATAATCTCTAGCATGGTCTTAGGCTGCTTTCCCCAGCAGTAAGTATCACCTCTGCCCTATTTAAATTAAATCTCAGCTAGTCATCAAGCTCTCACCCAAGTCCTTTTGTTGATCAGGCACTGAGAAAACCAGGACACTGGCACCATCTGGGTCAGATTAAAAAGGAGATCTAGAGATGTGTGTTTATTAGCATAGGGGTGGCGTGATGTCTCAAGCTGCCTGTATCCCCAGGTAGCTTCACAGACTTACTACAAATCCATAGGATTTGTAAACAAGCAATCACATTCATGTGGGGAAGAAGGACTTGCATGTAAGGAGTCCTCGATTCAGAGCAAAGAGGAAAAAAACTGCACAAATCCTGCAAGCCCAGTGCATTAATCTTTTTAGTGAAACTAGGAGAAAAATCTTTTACCCTATAAAGATTTAAAAAAAAAAAATAAAAGAACTAAATTACCTTCACTTTACCTGTTTTTAGGAGCTGAAAATTCACCAACAGCAAGTCAGATTTCTGAATTATAGTCGTGACTTGCAGGTCCACAGGTGCCAAGATGACATGACAATTCCAAGGAATATCAGAATTGCCTTCTCTGTACCATCTGCCAGCAGGGAAAGGTCAGAGGACAACGCTGGCATGATCAGGGCCACTAGTTGCTATTTTTAGCCCTACACATTGCAACTGGGACAACATCTCACAAGTTGCTAGAAAGTACAATGCCTGGATTTAGGATAACTGTGGGCAAAATGAAAGGAACAACTCTAAAATAAGAGGAGCAATTCAACACTGTTTTATTCCATCATTCTAATGGCTGACATGAGAAAAATTTGCTTCCTAACTGTGCAAATGATAAAAAGATAGGGTTGAGT